AAACCCAGTGATATTATCTGTGAACATTAACTCGTTAATTATCCTGCTTGTTTGAGAACACTGTAACCTTCTGTTCAGAGTGCTTTTGTTAAAGTATTTAGGATTATGTTTGACCTGACAAGTCTCAGCTTCACTGTCAGATTTTTGTTTTAGGGCTTCAAACAACAAGCTCTTGCAGTATCTACAGATCCAGAGCATCGTTTTGAACTTGCTCTTCAACTTGGAGAATTAAAAATAGCCTATCAGCTTGCAGTGGAAGCAGAGGTAACAATACAAATTTGGGTGATTCATCCTGGATTCTGAGTATTAGCAGGTGTCTGAGAGGCCCTTTAAGAAAAGTCAGTGGTATGTGGAGATACAACTCCCTAAACAAAACTGAAATGCCTCCAATTCCTTTGATGAAGTTCTTCTGCCCATAATTCAAAGGAATCTAAGCTGTGGGATGGGGACAAAGAATAGTGTCTGCTCAGAAAGCTGCAGGAACTCCTGGAAAATATGAAACTTGAGTCCAGAACCAAGCCTTAATCTCCAGGACTTAACAGGGAGAGGAGGAAAGATAGGGCTGAAGCCTTCAGACCTTTTTTCTAGCCTTGGCAAACTTAGACTGCTGCACTAAAAAACCGATTTGTTCCCATCATTCTTATGCAGAGAGTCAATCTCATTGTTCCTAAGCAAGTTATTTAGAAGGAATGTTAACTCAGTTAACCTTTCAGTATTGAGGGTTAACTTGGGAGTTTTAAGAGATTGTTATAGGTAAATTTCCAGAGTTTTGCCTGCCTCCCCCCTCCATGTTTACTGAGAAGCTGTTTATTTTATGTAAGGTAGGGAGGGATCTCTTAACACTCACTGTGTCATGCTGGGAAGCTGCAATAATCACAGTACCTCAGTGGGAAGACAGATGTAGTCATGGGATACAGCACCTTCACAAGTCAACTTACATTTTCATACTGAGTGCTCTGAAAACCTTTAAATGCTGTTCAGAAATGTGAGTGGTTTGGTTTTTTCTTTCCCTCCCCCCTTTTTGTACAATCAGTCAGAACAGAAGTGGAAGCAGCTTGCAGAGCTTGCCATCAGTAAATGCCAGTTTGGCTTAGCCCAGGAGTGTCTCCACCATGCCCAAGACTACGGAGGGCTGCTGCTCCTTGCCACAGCTTCAGGGAATGCCAGCATGGTGAACAAGTTGGCCGAAGGTGCAGAAAAAGATGGCAAGAATAATGTGGCATTTATGAGCTACTTCCTGCAGGGAAAGTAAGTAGCAAATGAGCTTCTGATTGTTCTGTTCTTCTTTCTCAAGTGCTGAGACCCTTGGGTTCTTCAAGTGGTTAACTTCAGCTAACTGAAAACTTCATGGAGAAAGATGGGCATAGGACCTTCTCAGAAATGCTCATTCTATGATGGCTACTAGATTTAAAATCTGAAATGAAAGCACCTTAAATTAATGGAATAGAATAAACACCTTTCTAATACAAGAACTTACCTTTATTAAGTTTACTGGTCCAAATCACATTTTGAAATATTTTTAGGCTTGATTCCTGTTTGGAGCTCCTGATCAAAACTGGGCGTCTCCCTGAAGCTGCTTTCCTTGCACGGACGTATTTGCCGAGCCAGGTTTCAAGGTAATTTCTAAGCATGTGCAGAGCATGAGCTGTGTTGTCTGAATGAGCTGTCTGTAACAAATCTGGTTTACGTCTCCAGGGTTGTTAAACTCTGGCGGGAGAACCTCTCTAAAGTCAATCAAAAGGCTGCCGAGTCCCTTGCTGATCCTACAGAATATGAAAATCTTTTCCCTGGATTAAAGGAAGCTTTTGTTGCTGAAGAGTACGTTAAGCAAAGTCTTGCTGACTTGAGACCAGCCAGGGAATATCCCCTTGTCACTGTAAGTAGAACGTTTTATTGTCTCTAGAAAAGTAAAATTTGGTGCTGTGTAAAATCACCTCTAAGCAACTCAGTGCAACACTTAAATGTGTCTGGTTTTGGTTTTTTTTTTAACTTTTAGCCAAATGAAGAAAGAAACTTACTTGAAGAAGCAAAAGGATTCGAGCCCTCTGGAATAATGACATCTCAGGTCAGTGATGAATCTAAAGTAGAATTTTGCTATCTTACAGTAACATCTATCCTGGAGAATATTTCACTGGTAATGGACAAAATGTTGCTTTTATTACCTTGACTGTAAGTGCTGCAGTTGGCTTCATGTTCTTTTGCTTCAGATTTTTTTTAATCTACATCTGTACCTTGACTGTGAAATTATTTGTGTGCTTCCTCACCTTGGGTAACCCTGTGTAGAGTGAGTAGTTCTAGAGTCTTTCAGTTGAATTAATCCTACAGAAAAGTAACTCCAGTTGCATTTACAAATACTGCCTTGATTGCAGCTGATTTTCTAAAAGCTCAGTAGCTGGAAATGTAAACTCTTGCCTATTACAGCAATGACAAATGCTCTGTGTTCTTTGCTGGTGTGCTCCATGGTTATGGAATAACACTGCTCAGTAACTAACTGACCAGGAATCCTACTCAGGTACTTGAACATAGGTTCTAATCAATGTCTGAAGTAATGAACTAATTTTTTTACTACCTCAGTAGTCCAATTCTTATGCAGAAAATAGGACAAGTATAAGGTATAAGCATACAGATTGAAACAAACACTTAAAGCTTTCCAGAGCCTTAGAAGATGACAACTTCTAATTTTGCTCAAGTCAAATACACTACAGTGTATGTGAAAATCATAATGCAAGGGTTTCTTAAAGGCAGTGATGCTGGCACAACTCTTTAGAGGCTATAAATACCTAAAATCAAAACTGCGCTGGAAACTGAAGGAGAAACAGAAAAGCTACAACTCTCCATTGTCTGTATGTTTTTCCTCATAGGATATGCACTATAAAACATAGTTTTGGACATCCCTGACAGAGCAGAGAGGTTAGGTTACTTTCAAGCCTCTGTAGTGACTCTGCCACTTGTGCATCATAGGAAATACTATTAAAGCAAAATCAAACATTGTCTGGACTACCTATGGAAACAAAAGGAAAGAACTAAGAACTAGCATGCGTAGAAGCTGACAAGACCTCAGTTTATCTTTGCATTCAGCTCATGATTGCACAGAAGCCATAAGCCCCATTTTCCTCTTACAGCTGAGGCTGAATATGGGACGTTTTGTAGGAGACAGATTCATTCTATAATTAAATACAGTAAATTGAATAGTACCATTGCTTCAGTAAGATACTGACTGATGAATTATCTTAATATAAAACTTGTGCACAAGTGAAGCAAGAAGAAAGTGTTAAACCATTATAGGATTTGGAACACAAAGCCCAACAACTACTAAAATCTGCTGTCAGTCTCAACTTAGTCTCTCCTGCTGAAGATGTTGAAAATCACTAACAACACTTCAGTATTTAAAATGAACTGTTAATTTCTGAAGCTTCTCATTTTATCAGTTCCATCATCAACTGCATCAAATATACTGGGGCAGGAAATAATGGAGTGAGGACTAGAATCTTTTCTGACAGAGAAGATATGGCTCAAGAGTAACTAAGGGAAGCTGAAAGAGAACCACTGGGCAAGGGGTAGTAGAGATCTGCTGTTGTTTACCTCCTTTTGTTGAAAGAAAACTAAAGGAATTTCTTTGCCATTAGAAAAAGGCTGAAGAACCAGTTCCCTCTCCTAAACAGGAAGTGATGAAGACAGTTGTGCAGAATTCTGATAACCTGCCAGCAAGAGATCAAAAGGTACCCAGTTTTATGAGGGGAAATACAAGCTCTCACAATTCATTTTATAGTAAAGACTTCAATGGGTGTGATTTAACCAAGCTACTGCACACATGACTCTGGCAGTGCCAGAGCAGTGTTCAGAGCCCTGCACACAGTAACAGACCAGTTCAGCAGGTGGGGGTGACAAGGGGTGTTCAAACCTAGCTGCTCACAGCATGGTAAAGAGCTGCACTGGTGGAAGAGGCTTCCTCATCGAGCAGGCAGCTGCTCTCCAGCCTCCTTTAGCACTTGTGTTCCTCATGAGGCCTTGGCTGTGGTTTGCAGTGTGCAGACCCATCTATCCCATAAGGTGCATCACATGTAACCACAGTGGTATCTCCCTCATCTAGTCTTTTCTCTCCTTAGACACTGCTGGACCTGGAAGATGACTTAGACAACTTGGATCTGGAGGATATTGATACCACAGATATCAATCTGGATGAAGAGATCTTAGATGAGTGAACATCCTTTTATAGATGACCAAAACAGGAAATAATTTGGTCAAAACACAGAGGAATGAAGTTCTGTGGACTGCTTGCTCCAAGTTACTTTGATTTTTGTATCACAAGTGGGCCATGTACATGTAGAAGGAAGCATACAGCTAACAATTGTACAAAGAGAATCAGTTTCCAGTATGTTGAAATTCAAGATGTAAGCCTCCTCCAGAACATACTACAAAATGTTTTCATTTATCAAGTGATTCAATAAATCCTTTTAAACGTTCTGCTCCTCAGTCCTCCAATTAGTAGTAATATTTACTAAAAATAGTAAAATTCTTAAGACTAACCCAGCTTCCATAGTGTATATTCCAAATCTGTGAAAGAGGAGCACAGTAGCTGAAAAATAGTATTTTAACCTGACTATTCTCAGCACCTACACTGAGGTATGTGATTGTGTTTTCACTGTGCTGCCATCTAGCACTGGTAACCATCAGTATCAGCTCAGTTACTCTTTCAGACACTACTTCAGCTAAAAGCTCCAGCAGAGCAGTGATACAGCTTAAGGGTTAGAAGTGGTGTTTGTTACACCCTTTCCTAAACGAAGCAGTCCAGACCCTGCACTTACCTCAGTAACTTAAATTAACTGTGGGCAATTCCTTAGATTTAAGATGCAACAATAAAAAAAAAATTGAACTTAGGGTACCATGTCAGCAAAAATAAGTCATGATGGCTGCTCTAAGTTCACTTACAGAACTTTTCAAAATGAACTGCTCTACTGATTCATACGTATTTCAGTAAAGAAAAATACATTCTATAGCAGTCATTTTCAAGTATTTATTGTGGAAAGGTGTACAGAAAATGCTTATAAACAGACTTAAAACTTCTGATGAGCTGATGTTTACTTCATGAAGCTGAAGAAGTAGCCATTGCTTCTTCATAAGCCTGCAGGGCCAGCTGAATATAACCTTCTCTCTGGGATTCAGTTTTCACAAATACCTGCAGCCATGGCAGGAGAGAGGTTAATGAAAGAGCAGAGTCATCATGCCAGTGGCAGATCAGCCACCCACAACTGAAATCCTGGTGCAGCTGTACATAGGGAGTTTAAAAACCCCAGTGTGGCACGTACAAGAGTTCTGGTTAAGTATCTGCTTCCTAAGGTAAAGAGATATTTAACTACTAATAGGGTTCTGCTTGAAAAGCTGTCTTCTGCAGGTTACGCAGCTGAAAGCAGAAAAGCTTACCTTGATCAGATCAACTCCTTGAAGTTTCTGTTCCTTAGCTGCCTTTGCCGACTGACATTCAGGGTGAAGCATATGATATAGTGTAATTAAACTTGTAGCATCATCCAGCCTAAACAAATAAAGACTCATTTTAGCAATTCCTTTCTCTTCAGAATATTTATAGAGAGTGTATTTGTAATGTACTTTGCATAGCACAGGCTCTCAAGCTGCTGGTTCCACTGAGTATCCAGTCCCTGGAATACACAGGCAAATACCTACATATATCCCTGCTGAAGCCTGCTGGCCTGTTCAGCAGTAATACAGCTGACATCCTTCTGAAAATACAATTAATTACTAATAATGAATATTTAGTGGAGTTTTCTAACACTGACTGTGATGACCAGTATGTTTTACAGAAGCAGCATGAGAAATCCTGTGACACTGAGCTCTCAGCTTGAAGTTTGTGGCAGAAAAAGACATTCCAAATGCTGCTTGTTTAAATTGGCCAGATACACGAGTTCTCCCTTTACCAATCTGATTCTAAGCCAGGAACCTTCCTGAGTTCTCCATATGCTCAGGTTTAAAAGCAAGATCTGACCATCTGTTTCAAGTTTCTAACTGAAACAGCAGGAAATAAATGCCATTATCACTGCAACTTGGACTTCTGACTGTACAAATTTCTCCCAGCTCTAGTGACATTTTGAACTTCAGGGAACTTTGAATAACTTTAGCACCATGTTTTATAGAAATTCATCTATTTAAAATGAAACCTTATCTACATGTTCCTAAGCTACTCAGGAATTGCTCAAAAACCTAGAGTGTATCAATTCTATAAGCCAAAACTGAGCTCAGTATGGAAATGCCAGACTTTAAGATCAGAAGTACTCAGAGCTGGAAGTGTTCTGACAATTACATGGGAAACAAAAATAAACACCAAAAGACTACAGAAAGCTAATTTCTGCAGAAACCTATATATACCCTACAACTTCATGGACTATTACTGCTCCTGTACAGCTAACAGTAGCTACACAGCTAACTGTTAGTTACAGCAGGCCTAAAATGTCATGCAAGTGAGAACTATCCTACATCTGCCAGAAATACTTATTTTATTGTTGAAAGGCAGTACTTTTTCTAAGGCAAGGCAGGATTCCCAAGTGCCAGGCTGTACTTACAGGTCTCTGTTGATCATGTCTATGAGTAGGCCATCTGCCTTCTTCCTGCCGAGCAGGTACCACACCATGCCCCCAAAGTGCCTGGTTGAGCGCAGCAGGTCGTACTTGCCGTTTTTCTCGATGTCCTCATAGGTGCGGTGGTGAACCTGCGCACATACGTGCTTGTTTGCAGAACTGGAGCCTGGTGACAGCTTTCCCCCTGTACCTCTCAGTTTTTAATCCTTTTCATTTCCCTAAGGTGCAGGGGTAAGCCACATGCTGAACCATATGCCTGTTATAATTCAGGGTAACACCGGGCTAGCCGAGTCCTTGGTACTTAGGATTTAGCTTCCTTTTACCATAAGGATGTCTATGCCTCTCTCCTGAACTTTTGCGGAGACAGGGACATAAGCTCTGGTCCTTCTCTGCACTGTGGTCAAGCTGCAGCTATCCTTTCAGGAGAAAAATTAACTAGAGCAAGGAGCTGTGAAATTTAGGAAAACAGGTTACTTGAAAAATTGCCTAATATAAGTAACAACTTCTCAACTCACTGAGAACATTACAGTTTAAAGAGAAGTAAACATTTTAAAAGCAAGTGTAGACTAACATTCACCAGCAGCTGTAGCTACTAATTTTATTCTGCTGGAACTGTATTTTTGTAGCTGCTTTTTATCAAAAAATAATACTTTGTGCACAGTGCTCTTTCTCAAAACGCACTTTGTCAGCTCCCTAGCTGTTCCTACTAGTTCCTAAGCCAGCAGTCAGTGTGACTTCAGCAGCAAAACTCTGCTCAGAGCCCCTGACAAATGTTACCATCAATTCTGCTTTGCTACCAAAAGTACCTGAATAAAGACTATTTTTGTAGGCTGGCAAAAATTACTTGTGCAAAATCCTCTTCTACTGTTCTGCATAAAAATAAACCCCAAAACTCATCACAAGATAATCTATATGGGAAAATTAGAGCACATACGACCAACACCTTTGTTCCCCAGATGAATATGTTTACAAAATAAACCCTACAATTCTCCACTAGGATTTTTTTTTTTTTTGCTAGAAAAATAGAAAGTGAACTCACTCTGATATAGTCAGGCGAATCTGGCTCAAACTGAGCAATGCACATGTTCAGGACATCTTCGTGACGGTCTTGCTGAAATACAGTCTGAAACAGCAGTTTGCATTCAGGGGTAGATTATGTAATCACACCATCCCAACATCCCAAAATCAAAACAGCAGCCACAACTCTGTTCTGGGCAGCATTTACAATGAGTAACCCCTTCATCAAAAGACAAAATGGACAGAGGTACAGCAATTGACTTGACGACATTAATAAAATGTTTCTTGGTTTTTGATTCTGAAACACCAGTTCACATTTCCAGATTAAATGTACAATTGTTTCTAGTATGACACAGTATTACACCTACCTAGGATTTACCTGGCCCTGACCTGGAACTTTATTTCAAGTATTTCAACCAAGTTACAATGAAAGGCAATTTTCAAAACAGAATTCAAGCCACTCTACACATACATGCAGAATGGATTATTCAGAGTTACTCTGCCCAGAGAGCAGAGTTTCACAATCAGACTGCAATGAAGTAAAAGTGCTCAGTTTCAAAGCCAAGAAGAGCTTACCCCAAGGTTCTCATCCTTGAATAATGCTGGGGGAATCACCCTGCGCCCTTCCTTTGGGAAGAATATCTGGATCATCCTGTCTCGTTCCTCCCAGGTGGCTTTGCGTAACACCCCATTTGGTTCTCTAACTACAATGAAACGTTCCTGCAAATGAGGTAAAAACAAAACATTGTCTAAAGCCTTCTCCCTTCATAGCCAGAACCATCCTAAAAAACTCCTCATTTGTCTAAGTCCTTCTACTCCTAAAGTCACCCTAATAACACCAGTTTCTACCTGACTGTTGCCATGTGCCAGATTGATCATTTCTGCCTTACTACCTGCTGAATAAGTGTTGTTTTTGCACCTCAGTTTTGCTGTCTGACAACTGTGCATGTGCCAACGTTGAAAGCCATGGCTCTGGGAAGTTTAGAGGCAACATGACCCATACCCAGACAGGAAGTTAGCCTGATTTTATCATTTAATAACTCATACAAAAATTAGGAATGCAAGTGTCATTCACTTTTGTACCTTTTTTCCAGAGGTTGGCTAGAATAAAGTAAGAGTAAGTGCAAGGCAAAAAATACAACAAATTAAACAATATACTCAGATCTGTTTAGAAGCATAACTGCTTTAGGGTGGCAAATGGGAAAGTTTGCTGGACAGGAAAGTTTTCAGTATGGTTGTTGGGGGTTGGGTTTTTCTTGTTACTTGTGGAACTTCTTCCCATTGAGTTGCTAAGAAGCACTGATGGCTGGGTGCTCTGGTTTTTGGGAGTGTTCTTTGAGGGGGGGAGGGGGGGAACAGAGATACCACGAGAATAGAGGCAGGTAAATGACAGCGCTGGGGAGTTGGGGACTCTCTCTCTCTCTCTCTCTCTTTGCCATCAGAGGAGGACGGCCCGGCTGTCACTTACTGTGGGGACAATTCACCAGCACCGCTGGAGCTCAGCCCTGAGGGACCGATCACCGTCTGCTCGTGTGCCCCGGGACCCCTGAACCCTGTGTGCCCCGGCAATCCCCCGTGTGCCC